AGAAGGGTCTAGGCCCGAAACGTCAGACTTCCTACTCCTCTGATGCTGCTTGGCCTGCTGTGTTCATCCAGCTCCACACCTTGTTATCTCCCTATAAACCCTTCGTATTCATGTAGCCATCCAGATGCCTTTTGAATGTTGCAATTGTTCCCCTCCTTCGCCATCTGCTCCAGACACATATCGCCCCTGCGTGAAAAATTTGCCCCTCAGGTACCTTTTAAATCTTTCCCCCATCACTATAAACCTATGCCCTCTTGTTTTGGAATCCCTTACCCTGGGGAAAAGACCTTGGCTACTCACCCTATGATGCCCCTCATGATTTTATAAACCTCTAAGGTCACCCCTAAGCTTCCAACTCTCCAGAGAAAATAGCCCCAGCCTATTCAGCCTCTCCCTATAGCTCAAACCCCCCAACCCTGGCAACATCCTTGTAAATCTTTTCTGAACTTTTCAAGTTTCACAACATAGTTCCTATAGCAGGGAGACCCATAGATACTGTCCGACCTATTGAGTTTCTCCAGCATTTTCTGTTTTAACATCTGGACTATTTAGTGGGCTCTGCTGTTCGGGCTCACTAATTTTCTTTTAAACAAAAAAGCGGTTCTTTTTCCCTCGTGCCCTAAAAAAAATCTAAGTTTCAAAATTGTGTTGTTAATTTTAATCATTAGTAGGTTTCTATCTCTCTAATGAGAGAGCAGCCCTCTGGTCCGCAAACACGATAGCGACTTTACTTGTTTTTACTATTGTTGATGTTCTTTTTCAATCAATGTATTGCATTTCTTAATTAACCGTTAAAGTTATTATTCACTCTGACAACAGTTTGTAGAATGAGATATAACCTTAAACCATTATCCTGCATGTTCATAACATTGAGCGAGATTTACTTTGAACACAACTCCTAACACTTCCCTTTGACACAATTGCAACAGGCTACAGACGCTGTTTCATTTGCCCGGAGGCAGACGGGAAACAGCGGAGTGAATGACAACATGGACTTTCAGAGGAAAAAAAAGTACCACCTTATACCCACCAAAAAAAAGTTGGCAATTTCAAGCCACATGCAGTAGTTAAAAGTTCCAGATGGTATGGTGGCCTGGTCAATATTTTAAACAGAAGCGAAGTTGTTGTTCACATAAGAAACACCACGACTAACAGTTTCAGAGCAACTCTTTTATTAACCTTTTCAACTTGTCATTGCGACTAAAAGACAGGCCTTCCACAACTGAACTCCGTTTTATGTATAAAAAAGTGGTTAATCGATGTACAGATATTACAAAACTTGTTATTCCTGTTACATTGTACAACATAAAATGCGGTATTTCGAATCTTGTTACAAAAAAAGGTCCGTGGACTCAAAGCCCCCCTCCCCCACTAGTGGAAATCCCTGTAAGTTACAGAAATGCCAGAGGAAGGGCCGCTCCAGATTTCAAATATTGTCATGGGGAGTCCAATAAATCGGACCCCGATTGCTCTGACAGGGGCACGGGGCTTGCTCCCCATGGAACGTTATGCCTTCTCATAGGTACGAACGGCAACAATATCGTCAAATGTGAGGGTCTGTTCAAACATAAAAAGAATTCAATAATACAACTCAAGCCGCTCACACACTGACAGAACAGTCAACCTGAAATGTAAATACAGCTTCACCTACCATAACCATTTTACCATCCTTGATCTCCCTGGCAAAAGTTGTTTCTTTTCCATCCCATTTCTGAACATGGACAAGCTTGTCACCGTCCAAAGTCACCGTTGTCTGTTGACACCAAAAAAATACGAATTAAAAAGTTGGCTGAGTATTGACTACCAACCCTTACAATTGGTAAAATGTATATATATAAGCCGCAAATATTTAACGTCAGGTCCCAGCACCAATTCCCTCCCGTATAACGGTGTGTGCTGTCAATTTATCAGCACAACCTCCGCTAACTTCTGTACCGGCCGGAACCTGCAGCATGAGCTGTGTGTGGGGAGAAATGAGATCAAATTATCCCCAGCGACTGCATCCACCCCGAAAGCACAGAGATTTCCATAACTTACTTTGCAATTTCGGTCATCAGGGGTGGTCTCGTCAAACTCTTCCCCGAGTCTGAAACTGATTTCAGTATTTTTAAAGGTACTCAGGGTCTTCAGCACTATTTTATCGTCCTCTTTGCTGATGATAATCGTCGGTTTGGTAACATTCCCAACTTGGCGAGTAGCGAAACTCACACCTGCGGAAAAAAAGACAGAAACTACACGAGTTGCTGCTTTCCAATCAAAGTGAGACCGAAAGAAACGGTTGGTTCATTACTTGCGCTGGAAGGTATATCAGTTTAATAATATCAAGACATCCCTGGAATTTATGTCTTAAAATATGGATCATTTCACACAATAATAAAAGCCTAAACACGTTTATCTCAAATATATCTCCACACTGGTCATTTTCCTTTTGCCTCCCAAGTTGCTGTGATCGAACTCCAGATATTTCTGCTGGTTAGCTTACCCAAAGCTTTCATGTAGGCATCGAAATTATCGCTTTCGGTGAGCTTCCAGGTTCCGACAAAAGCATCGACCATGGTGATGGTACCGGAGATTGGAGACGGGAATAGAGAGGAAAAACAAAATCACGTCGAGAACTGGCGTCAAAGTTGGAAGCAAAGGTCCTGTTAACGGTGAAACTGCAAAACCCGTGGTCTCGCTTGATGCGATAGCCCCTATATACAGTCCCTAGGTGGGAGGAGTCCTGGACAAGGCACCAAGAACTGATAAGATAAGCTGCCTCTCATCGACTGAGATTGAAGCGATGGCAAGTTTCACAAAAAGAAGGGAGTTCGAGGGGAAAAAAAAGAACAAAATATTGAAAGTACAAATTGTAATTAAAAATAAAGATTAAGGATCTATTCCCTTATTATTGTCTCCATTTCAGTTACCAATTGTAGCGCCAGATCACCGGCGCAAATTATATCTTTCCAATTCATTAGCGGGCGTTGCGAGTGGAAAATGAAGCAACAGAAATAAACTTTTTTTTTTGTCCTCTCCTTTATTGGTGAACGTTTTAAAACAGTTAACCTGTGCAAATCTCAGGGTGCTAGTATTAAAAATCCGCATGTTCGCTTAATTTAACGTGTGTTTCTAAAGTAATAATTTAGATAGCATCTCATTGCATTTTAATTCATTTTCAATATTATGTTTTTTACAATGATAGAATCCGGTTATTTGTGTCGACTTTTGTTTGTACATTTTGGAATAAGTGGATCTGAGCTGATTGTGATGAATGCCAGAGAGGATTGCAGCGAATCTGCGCAGTTGTAACGGTAGAAGCGACACCTGTTGTTCAGTTTAAAGAAAACACCGAAATCAAAAGGAAGGGGATGTTTGGAAGTGAAGAGGGACATTTCTTATGTGAATGTATCTGCATTTTATTTGCTACACCGACAATGAAATAAGGAGTACGCATTGCTAACAGGATTGAGCGAATTAGCTCAGTTGGCTAGACGGTCGGTTTCCACAGCAGTGTGATACCAACAGCGTGGGTTCAATTCTCATCACTGTTTGAGATTACCCTGAAGGACTCTCAACTCCCCTCGTCTGAGGTATCGCGGCCCTCAGGTTAAACCACCACCAGCCTTCTCTCTCTCCAATGAGAGAGCAGCCCTATGGTCTGATACGGCTATGACAACTTGTTAGACAAATGAAATGTTCTTATTTTGAAGCATTTGTTGGGATTTTGCTTGCACCAGAAGACCTTGTTTAGATAGCTCGTATCTTGTCGCTTAGGTCCTGGCGAGACATGAACATCAGCGCTGACCAAATTGTATATTTCCGGGGACAAAAACAGAAGTTGCTGGAAAAGCTCAGCAGGTCTGGCAGCATCTGTGAAGAGAAATCAGAGTTAACTTTTCGGGTCCAGTGACACTTTCTCAGAACAGAGGGTTCGCCTCCTTATGAGGACCTGGGCACACTGTAAATGCCTGTGATTGAAAACTCGGGAATCATGTACTGCAAAGGAATTGGAAAAGCTTGCAGGAGTTCAGAAGAACGGGCCTGATTTGCATGTCACACTATTAGCATTTTAAAAGGAACAAAAGATCCAGGAGGGAGGCATCTGAAACGGACTAAACATCCCTCTTGCAGTTTGCTCATTGCTTTCAATTCCTCCTGTCTTTTCACTTCGATAATATCGATTTCTTCTTTGTCTCTTTCCTTCACTGCCATGGATTTCCTTCCCATCTCCCGGTTGCTCCGTTGTTCCCCCGTACAGTTGCTAATAGAATTGATCCTCCTTAGATAGCAGCCACTGGGTGAGGCGCTCTGTCGACAGTGTGTAGTGGTAGGGATCGCATTGCAGCACAATTACGGAGCAACCATGCGGAGATTGGAGCCCAGTTTGTGGGATTCCCTTTGTCAGAAAGTGCAGCTCAAACTCTGGCTGCTAAAATTCTGCTACCCGATGTGGGGAAAAAAGGTTACATTATCTTTAATTACCACGAGCCCACCCCCGGTCCCCCCGACAAGCCGTTTTATATAGTCATTGTTGTAGTGTAAGAAACAAGGCAGCCAACTTTCACAAAGCAAGCCTTCATAAATAGCAAGGCGGTAATGACCAGATTATCTTCCTGTGGCAGACACAGAGGATGCTGGAGAAATACAGCAAATCTGGCAGCATCTATGAAGAGAGAAACAGAGTTACCGTTTCATGTCGGGTATGACTTTTTCATAGTGCAATTCTGGAGTAATTGAAGAAGTCAGAAAGAACTTCTACTTTTCTGCATTCTCTGTGTTCGTTTCAGATTTCCAGCATCTGCAGTGTTTTTTCGTTGATCTTTTGTGAGATTGATTGAGAGGTCAGTACTGGCCGGGACAAAGGTAATTCCCCTGTTTCTCTTCAAAGCATTTTCATGGGTTCTTTTACATCCAGCTGGGAGGGTGGATTAAGACATGGTTTAAGACCTTATGTGAAAGATACACTTCTAGCAATACAATATTCCCTCAGTATTACACTTCAGTGTCAGTTAGGTTACTCTGTTCCAAGGTAAACCAAAGTCAATGGGAATCAGGGTAGAAACCTTTCATTGGCTGAAGTCAAATGGAGCACAAAGGAAGGTCATTATTGTTGGGATAATCATCATCTCAGCTTCAGGAGATCACTGTAGGAGTTCCTCAGACTCATGTTCTAGGCCCAACCAGCATTCAGCTGTTTCAGCAATGGCTTTACTCCATTGCAAGATCAGAAGTGGGAATGTTTGCTGATGATTGCACCATATTCAGCACCATTCATAACTCCTTCGATACTGAAGCAGTCTGTGCCCATCCTCGGTAAGAGTCAGTTTAGGTTGATACCAAGTAAGTAGCATCCCCACCACACAAATGCAAGGCATTGATCTTATCCAACAAGAAAAAAATCTAGCAACATCCCTGCAAGATTCAATGGCATTACTACTGCTGAATCCCCACTACCAATATCCATTGATCAGAAATTCCAGTAGATCAGCTATATAAACACTGTGCTGCTAGTGCAGATCAGAGGGTAGAAATTCTGCGCAACTAACTCACCTCCTGATTCAGCGAGACCATATAGATGCTATGACAAAGGATAGATGGACACCATGTGACAATTGCCAACATGAGTGTTCCTTCCATTTGGGGAACACCTCAGCGGTCAAGGTCATTCAGCCTCTGATCTTTTGGTCAGCGTTCTTCAAAGCAGCCTTCGAGATTTACAACAATGCAGAATCTGCATTGAGCAGAAACTGATAGCCAAGTTCCGCACTCATGAGGATGGCCTCAACCATGATCCTGGGTTTATGTCACACTACATGTAACCCCACCAGACTGTTTTATGTTCATAAAATCTTCCTAACTATCCTGTTTTGACACTATTACCTTGACTTTTTGTGATTATCTCTCATCCTGAATTAGTTAGTTTTTGATTACTTGTTACTTTTGTTAGACCCTCATCATGCAACTCTGATACCTACACATTATTCCAGCCAATTGGTTTGTCTCTAGCACCATCTTATTGTTGATAATTTGTAATTATTTCTCTACCTTAATTAATCAGATCATATGTTATCCCTTCACTTGCTATTCAACTGTCAACACTTCACTCACACCCTTTGTATTAATCTGTTGACACTCTTGATTACCTGCCTGTCAACAGTCTACTCACGCTATATTTGTATTTATCTGTTGACATTCTTAACTACCTGGAATTACCTTGCCATGATCTCTCCACCTATATATTCTGTGCCTGTGTGCCACCCTCCACTTCACAGGATGAAGGAGCAGTGCTTCTAAAGCTTGTGCGATTTAAAATAAATCTGTTGGACTATAACCTGGTGTCATGTGACTTTTGATTTTGTCCCCATGAAACACCTTATACATTCAATCCCTCCATCACTAATGCACAATGGCAGCAGTATACACCATCTACAAAATTTACTGCAGCAACTCACAAAGGATCCTTTATCAGCACCTTCTAAATCTGTGATCAATACCGCCTAGATCAACAAGGACATCCGTGCATGGTAACAACACCAACTGCAAGTTTCCCTTCAAGCTGGTCAGCATCCTGACTTGGAACTATATTCTGTTCATTCAAGAACATTGGGTCAAAATCCTGTAACTTCCTTCCGAATGACACAGCAGGCCTACCTACATGACATGGTTTGCAACAGTTCAAGATGACAGCTTGCCATCACCTTCTCAAGAGAAATTAGGGGTGCTGGCCTCGCCAGTCAACATTAAAATTCAGAAAATAGGAGCATGAGTAAGTCATTTGGTCCTTCAAGCCTGCTCTTCCATTCAATATGATCATGGCTGGTTTTCCAACAAAGTAACCTGTTCGTGCTGTCTCCCTATACCCTTTGATCCCCTTAGTTTTAAGAACTATATCTAACTCCTTCTTGAAAATATTCAATGTTTTACCCTCAACCACTTTATGAGGCAGAGAATTCCACCAGATCACTACTCACTGGATGAAAAACATTCTCCACATCCCAGTCCTAAATAAACCCCTGGTTCCAGATTCATCAGTTAACAGGAACGTCCTTCTGAACATTCACCATGTCTAGCCTTGTTAGAATATTATGGGTTTCTAAGAGATCCTCATTCATTCTTCTAGACAAGAGTGACTATAGTCTGTCTTCCTATATCAGGCCTGACATCCCAGGAATCAGACCGCTAAACATTCATTGCACTCCCTCAACAGCCAAAACATCCTTCCTCAGATAAGGAGACCAAAAGTCACAGAATACTCCAGGTTTAATCTCACCGAGGCCCTGCACAATTGCAGCAACACATCCCTGCTCCTGTACTCAAATCCTCTCGCATATAAGCCAACATACAATTTGCCTTCTTCATCTGCATCTGCATACATACTTTCAGTGACTGGTGTATAAGGACACCCAGGACTCATTTTGCCTACCCCTTTCCCAATCAATCACCATTTAGATAATAACCTGTCTTCCTGTTTTTGCTATCAAAGTGCTTAACCTCACATTATTCTTCATTATATTTCATCTGCCATGCATTTGCCCACTCGTAGTACTGGCAAAAGTGAATCACTCCTAGCTTTAACAGATTTGCCTCCCACCCAAATTATACAGAATTTCTTAGTGAGTGTAAGCAATGGTTGGACAGTTCTCAATGAAAATGCTCCTTTTCCCATTCATAGGTAAGGTAAGTAAGGGAGAGTGCTG